TTTTAAGACAGAAGAATTTCGCATGAATTCCACGGTGTCTGCTTGGTTGAAGCCTGCTTGTAATTTCCTGTGGAAGACTGAAAATTCTTGCTGTGCGTGTTTCTTTATTCAAGATCTAACAAAAGATAATAATGCAATGTCACTCAATTCGGCTCGGTAAAGTGAGAGGAGTTTAACATTTTACAATTCAAAAATGGCCTTTTAGACAGAGACAATTAAAGTCCCTCAAGCTGCGATAGACATGAAAATGTAAAATTCTGAAAATTTGGTTGCATCATTAAACTTTAAAGAAATTCTGCACTGTTAGAAAAAACGGTGAAAAACGGTCCCACTGGCATTCTAGTGGCCGGTCGCCCCGTAAAAATAAACTGTTCCGCCGTTTTTATCAGATGTTTTACAGATTTCTAGTGTTAAATTAGAATTAAAAACGGCGACACGGTGTTTCTTTTCACGTGCCGACCGGCCGCTGAAACGCCTGTAATACCGTTAACGGTAATTTTCCCAACAGTGTGTACCATAATACTCTGCATTTTGAGTTAACAGGTAAAGTGGGAGGAGTTTAACATTTAACAATTCAATAATGGCCTTTTATAGACATAGGCAATTAAAGTCCTTCAAACTGAAATAGACATAAAAAGTAAAATTCTGAAAATCTGGTTGCATCATTAAATTTTCAAGAAATTCTGTACCATAATACTCTGCATTTTCAGTTTACCACAAGAAAAAATATTATCAATTCAGTGGCAACTCGCTGCCGCCTCCAGCCCACCGATCTGTTCAATATTCAACACAAGCGCTGGTCGCAATTCGATTCTTCAGAGGCGACACGTCCGTCCTAAATTGGATACGTTACAGGCACAGAGTTTGATCACATTTGTTCCTGAAATTGAGTTTATCTTCAGTTTGTGTCCAGCCAAATCACATCACCAAATATTAATTGATTTCGCGTTTCAATTATTTCATAATTTTATGAGTATCAACATTTACAAATGTACGTACAAAACGTATAAGAGAACTTAAATCTAGGTTGTTAAAATACTCACAGGTATGAAAACGAGGTCAGTTTTTCCTCTCACCGAGTGGAGAATGTAGCTAGGAAAGTTACATTGAATGGCAATGTACAGGATTGATCAATGTTCACTGGAAGAAAATTTTAAGAAGTGTGCAATGTGAAGACTTTTCTTTTAACCCACACTGGCGACTAAAATTCCAGTCCATCCGAGAAGAAGGAAGAAATTAAGATATAAAGTATGCAGGGAAGCTAGAGCTGTAAATAAAGATATTACCCGAAAAATAGCAAATAATATTACCCTAGAAGTACCAATAAATGAAGATATCACCCTAGAAATAGCAAAAAATTCTTATATTACCCGAGATTTAGCAATAAATATTAATATTACCAGAAAAGTAGCAATAAATAAAGATATCACCCTAGAAGTAACAAGAAACAAAAATATAAGCCGAGATTTAACAATAAAAAAATATGTTACCCTGAAAGTAGCAAGAAATAAAGACATCACCCTAAAAGTACCAAAAATTAAAATATTACCCGAGAAATTTAACAATAAAAAAATTACCCTGAAAGTAGCAAGAAATAAAGATATAACCCAAGAAGTAGCAAGAAATGAAAATATTACCCGAGATTTTACAATGAAAAAAATTACCCTGAAAGTAGCAAGAAATGAAAATATTACCCGAGATTTAACAATGAAAAAATCTATTACCCTGAAAGTAGCAAGAAATAAATATAATATCATAGGGCGTGGTGGCGACTCAGGGTAACGTCCAGGAGCAGAGCTTGACTGCCAAGGCCAACGCCTTTTTTAAGCTGGCAACCTGCTTCTTGAGCCTCCTGTGACAACCCAGCTTATAATGTTGCTGCAAAGCTGCTAATGTTGCAGCTTCCTCGTCATTTGATCATTGGGACAGAATAATGTTGTTAAAAATAATAATAATAATATAATATAATAATATAATGAATAATAATAAAAATATAATAATAATAATATTATTTTGTCCCAATGATCAAAGAATGAGCAAGCTAGTGTTGCTGGAACATGGGACAAAATAATGTCGTTAAAAATAATAGTAATGTAATATAATAATATAATATAACACATAATAACTAATAACAATATAATATTAATAGCATTATTTTGTCCCAAAGATCAATTAATTAGTAAGCTAATGTTGCTGCAGCATTAGCTTTTGCATCATTTGATCATTGGGACCAAATAATGTTGCTGTAACATTCGTTAGCTGCTGATCGTTTAATCATTGGGACAAAATAATGTTTTACCAACGTTTACTCGCTCATTATTTAACCTGCTCAGTAACATTATTCAACTTTCAGGCTGACTAAATATAGTAAAAATTGTGAATGTAACTACCAGCATTTATGCATATTATTTATGCTCTCTTTATATATCTATATACACTTTACTGCTAACTGCCAGACTCGTCTAATCTGAATATCAAAATTCAATTTAACACTAGGCATTGCATGCTAATGTTAGTGACAGAACAGCAATGCAGGGGCCATACTTTCAAAACTCGCTAAGTGAACGTAAGTACTTACGCTCTATTTTCTTGTCTATGATTGGTGGATTTTGCTTGAAAGGCCGACAATGATTGGCTGATGAACTTACGATCTCTTAACTTTTTTTAAAAGTATAGGCCCAGGTGACGATCGTAATGGACATCCATACAAATTACTGATCGATATTTTTCGTATGATGAAAATAAATACGGCAACCACCCGGCCAACCATACGGCAACTACCCGGCCAATTATACCATACGGCAACCATACGGCCAACCGAGAACCAAAGATCACTTAGCGCAAACGTAGAACAAATGTAGTGAACAATTCAGTGGAGCGTGTATGATTGGTTTGAGTAATAATCCTGTATTGAATGAAAATGATGCCGAACAATAATAAAATATATTGATTATTATTTGAAACTGCGTTGCATGGTAGAATAAAGGATGGATATAAGATTATGGACTAGATAATGGATTAGAATGCTCTATACATCAATGGTCTATACATTAATGATTTTCATATGAATGTCCCAATCACAATTGATCTACTGATAAAGGTATATCCAATATTCAACTTTGTTATAAGTATAGCAAAAAGAAAATTTTTTCAATTTTTCTGAAACATCGAACGTTATTTAAACCACCCGAACTGCCTTTAAATTGTTTTTTTCTCCTTGTTTGTTCAGTTAACTGTAAACTCACTTCAGCCTTATCCACCGATGTTTGGGGTAAGACTATCATAGCTCTTTTAATTGTTCCTCTGATGTGTAATATCTCCTTGTATATCGTACTATTCTACAATTATATAGTACTACAGTATTTCATTCATTCTACAGGTGCAACTTAAGCATGCAACTTACGTACACGCTCAATACACATTTTACTCACAAGCGTCTCCTCGGCTAATATTCTCGTTCAAATAGCGTTAGATTTTGCTCATAACGGAGCCGAACCTTTAGCCTATTACACATCAATAGTCTAGCTATGCATCCTCTGTATATTAATGTTTTATACAGCTATATTCAATACCACAGTACTCTTTAAAGCGATGCTCTATAAGTTAATGCTCTTCATATGCATACATTAATGCCCTATACTAAAAACAGTTTAGAATATTAAAATAAGACTAGAGCACGTGTATAGAGCATATCGTGGAGACACACACACACAAAATTCGAACTCAATGAAATGTTTGTGATTGCGAATCGCTGTAGAGATTCGCAATCACAAACATTTGCAATCACAAATAACCGAGATTTACTATGCCGTTCTCGAAGACAGACGAGACATCTTCCATAACGAATAAACTTACCAGCCTGCATATGAGTCTGGAGTTCTAACGAGTTCAGATTTAGCGAACTTTAGGGAAGTTTGTAATGAGATGAGCGGACGTTTGGATTTTAGTTCTAAATTCGAAGCTTCATGTTGTTGAGAAGTTGTTAATTCAGTGATTGGAGCCTCTGGAATGATGGCAAGTAATTCATTCTTCAACAATTATAGGTCTAACAATTTAAACATTGTATTTAATTATCAAAACAAATCGGATTTGAATGGAATTAAAATTCAAGTCTGACGTACAAACTGGAAAAACCAAGAAGATAGGCTAAGGAAAATGATGCAAGTGTACTTTCACTAAATAAAGTTTATAAATAGTTAAATTTAATAGGTTTGAACGGCAGATCTACCGCTTTCTCTTGAGTTTTTTATTAAAATAATGAAAGGCCAGCCACATATATATACTTAATTTTTGAAGTCAACGTTTTAATTCAAATTATTCATGCTTTTATTATTACAGAAGTGAAATTTGAATGCACAAATCGCATCCGTTCACTGAAGGTACAATAATTTTCCTCCCAAAACTATTAGAAGAATCTTTTAACACTTTCATCATTGCCATATTTAACCCTTTCAGCATTGCTGTTTAACCCATTCATCATTGCCATATTTAACCCTTTCATCATTGTTATATTTAACCCTTTCAGCATTGCTGTTTAACCCTTTCATCATTGTCATAACTAAACCCTTGATTAGGCATTTAGACATAGGAATTAGCGGCACGATCAACTATAATTATGTTTGTTATAACTTTAAAAATCAAAATGTTTCGAAGTAGATTGAGAAATTAATTGGGTAGTGAGCGTTAATTCAAGGCAACCCATGAAGTGGAATCGAAAAGTGCAAATTAAAATGAAATATCCCAAATCACCTCACTTGTGAAATTATGTTCGCAAAACGTGAAAATTACACGATTCAATTATTGACTGAGAATTAATATGGTTCGACCCATAAGGTTATGTAACATCGATTATGCAAGCTCAAGATTTGAAATATAGACGTTTCAAATTACAAGCTCGATTAGAACGATCTTAAGTTACTAATTTTTTGGTGATTAGTATCTCTAAAATTAGGGATAAAACAGACTTTAAAAATAAAAATAATTGACTTCTTGTCCAACAGACAACCTCGGGGCGTGCAGTCGTGTTGGTGACGTGTGTGGCTCCGACGGCCGTACGTACATGTGAGTGCACACATGTTTTACACATGTGCTTCTGGGTAATTATAATTATAATATTATCAAACTTCTGATGGTGAAGTATAAACTAGATTTCCTTAATTTCCTTTGCTTTATAAATAGAGGCTTTATAAATTGTTGGCAGGGATTGAGGATAAGTCTTATCTACACAATGATGTAATCGGTGCAGGATTCGGACTAAAGTCGAAATATTACAGTTATCCCTGTACGCTCGTAGTTCATTTTCATAAATGACAAGTTCTTCTACTATAAATTTTGTGATTTTTGATAAACACGAAGAGATTGGGATTTGCTCCAATACAAAATTCCTAGACATCACTTAAAATTAATCTACACGAAGAATTTTTTATATTACGACAATTATTGCTGCAAGACATCAGCGGACGACAGCAACTGCAATATCCAATATCTTTCATCAAATGAATTAAAGGAACAAATATCCTAAATGAATGAATAAAGGACATTCAAGGAAATAAACTAATTAGACGTGTAAATTAAATATAAAACGATGATATAATTGAAAAATATAGATCATATTCAACTCACGAGAACAGAAAAAATATAACTCAGTACTCACTGCAGTGAGTGACAGAGAGCGCATTTTTTCGTCGATGAAAACGTGGTCACGGACAGACGGACAGACAGACGGACAGACATGACGAGCACAATAGCGCCTTTTTCCATAAATGAGAAAATGCGCTAAAAAGATAGCCATGCAGCGATTCAAAAATATATATATATTTGAATTTCGAATTTGAATTGCCCCACTTTGAATTTTCCGCTTGAGGGAGTATGACTTGAGTCGCAAATGGAAGTCATTTGCTCAGGTGGTCGCAATTTACCAGGACCGGACAATGCCCTGCTTGGCGCTAGTCAAATAAATTCTAGAGGAGTAACTGTGAATGACTCCATTTTTCCAATTCTCTTTAATTCAGCAGATAGAAGATAGATATTTTCCAAGACTGGATTACGCAATATATCGAGAAAAATTGAATTCTTATATATGTAACGAATTCTAGCTGATAAATTTTTCCAGGTTGTTGGTCACAAATTACTGAGAGAAATTATGAACTCGTGTACCAAAACCCAGCTGATATCTGAAACGAAATAAATCTTTAGCGAAAATATAGTGAAAAGTATAGTGGGACGCGCATGAATGGTTTGTGTTTTTACAGGGGCCAGTATCCACTGGGCATACTGTGAAACTTTGTGCAATATACATTAACCCAACAAAGGTTCCTCACACTACTTGCAGTTCAACACCGCGTGACAGGAGAATAAAGGCAATTAATACGAATTTTTCATTCATTTAACAACGACAAGGTGAACAGAGATTGGGTTGACGTCAGGTCAAGCTTCGGAGGTCTCACTGTACGAGTGATAAAGCCATTACAGACACCAAACTTGAACACTGGTTCATGCATAAAATGATATCATGAAAACTAAAACGAACCTCTTCACATCTATAGCCATACAGGTCAACATCACACTAATATATTACAGGTTACAATAAATCACAACGATATTGGTCCTATTAATAAATATCAAATGATACAGTGCGCAGTACGCACATTTCCCGTATGGTGACGTAGATCGAGTGATCTACGCCATAGATAAATAGTGATTATACATAGTGATTATAGAGAGCCACTATTCCGCACTACAGAGGCGATCCGGCAACATCGCACGGAATTACGACTCGTTTTGATTACAACGGATTATTATAAAATATATCAATAAACGGTGTATTTCCCTCCTCTACAGTGAAATAATCCTGTATTTAATATATAATGATTTACAAACCATATTGAAAGTGTTTAGATTATTATACAAAACTGCTGTGTAGGAAGGAATAAAGGATGAATCTAAGGTTAGAGATTGGATAAAAGATCCTGATTCCGTTGCTTACTCACCTTCCGTTGATTACTCAGAACTTGGCCAAGGAATTTAATAAATTTTGAGTTTGCATGTTTTCAATAAAAATTTATATATGAACTGTTGTACATAAGATAAATTTGTTGATTGTGGAAAGTTTCTTTCTAAAAACTACAGAATAAATGATAAAAATTTATTCAAATACATAGAACGGGAACCATATGTAAAAAATATTCAATTCTTCTGAAATCACATGACAGCTCATTTTTTTGCGATTCATAGGGGCTGTTATAAATTGTTTTGGAGAATCTGTCGTCTCTAATTTGGAAGCCTGCAAGCAATTACGACAGTCATAACAGCATGTGCGTGAGCGCTGGCATCTGCCTTGCCATGCTAAATAAATATTCCGTGGCTAATAACTTTATTTATAATGTTAATCTCTAAATTTAATCCTTAATGCAGTAGCCTCAACTAAGTACGGAATAGACCACTGAGGGTTAAAAAAATTAGATCAGTACTCAATGCAGTGAGTGACAGAGAGCGCATTTTCTCGTCCGTCCGTGAAGTGAAGTCACTGACGGACGGACATGACGAGCACAATAGCGCCTTTTTTCCATAAATGAGAAAATGCGCTAAAAATCTCGGGAATTATTCTGAGAATGATCTCAGCTTGCTTGAGAGAACTGATAAAATGAGATTGTGTAGATGGAAAACTTATGGTCGCGCTTATAATGCTCTGCATGCAATAAGTTATTAGCCGCCGCATTTCCCCGAACAGGACTAAAAAGACATAGGATGTAAAAAATTATAAAGAAGCTTGAATATCGTATGAATTAAAAAAATTATATCCCATGAATGAAAGAAAGTAGCCTAGCGAAGAATCAACAAAAAATTCACAAAATGACTTAGGAAAGCGGCCGGGATTTGTTTGGAATGGAATTTCGCCTCGTAATGTCTCGTAAATGAGGGTCGACAGATTTCACCCTCCACCAAAACAGAAGGCCGCTGAGCTGCTGATTTAGAGTCGCCCCAGCTGCTACTTTAAAGTTGCCCAAGCTGCTACTTTAAAGCTGCACGAGCTGCTACTTTAAAGCTGCCCAAGCTGTTACTTTAGAGCTGCCCTAGTTGCTGATTTAGAGTCGCTTCTAGCAGCTGATTTAACGACGCCTACAGCTGCTGATTTGGAGGCGCTGCTTAAGATTTAAAGTCGCTGAATTAAATCCACCAAGCCGCTGATTTAAAGTCACCCAGCTGCTGATTTGGAGGCACGTCAGTTACTGATTAAGAGTTAACTCAACTGCTGATTTATAGATTTACGAACTCAAAACCTGGAAACATATATATAGGTGACTAAGGTGACTAGCTATTAGCCTATTGTGTATTGATTGAAACATATAGGTGACTAAGCTATTGCAAATAAACCTCAACATGGAAAACCTAGACGTCTTAACCAGTGCAATCATCCTTCAACATGGAAAAGCTGACCGGCACTGCCATGCCAACTAAACCGCAACCTGGAAAATCTAGGTGACTCAACCATGACAACCTTCTCTCAACATGGAGAACCTGACCGACCATGCCATGCCAACTAAACCGCAACCTGGAAAATGTAGGTGACTCAACTATGACAACCTACTCTCAAAATGGAAAACTCAGTCGATTCAACCATGATAATCATCATTGCGAAAAGAAATCCTTATTTTACGTTGACGCTCGCTATCGACGAGTCAGGGTAGTTGAGTCCGCGGCCGCAGAGCGATCGTTTCCTAAGCGCGTGGTTCCGTCGTAAACAAAAGCGTCTTCCCCGAGAGCGACACTTGTTTACTCACCAAATATCGGTGAAAACATAGTCATTGAGTGAGGTCACGAACGAAACTTTAGGTTACGAACGAAAGCTTAGGTTACGAACGAAAGTTTGGGTTACGAACGAGACTTTAGGTCAAAAACGAGACTATAGGTCAAGAACGAAAGTGTAGGTCACGAACGAAACTTTAGGTTTCGAACGAAACTTTAGGTTACGAACGAAACTTTAGATTACGAACGAAGCTTTGGGTTACGAACTAAACTTTATGTTAAAAACGAAACTTTAGGTTACGAACGAAAGTTTAGGTTAGGAACGAAACTTTAGGTTACGCACGGAACTTTAGTTCACGAACGAAACTTTAGATTACGAAGGAAACTTTAGGTCACGAACGAAACTTTAGGTTATGAACAAAACTTTAGGTTACGAACGAAAATTTAGGTTAGGAACGAAACTTTAAGGGGACCGACCTAGCTAAAATTTTCAATTTTGACGTTTTTCGGTTTTTGTGCTCATCTGAAAGCTGGAATTCTGCTCTTTCCAATGGTACCACTGCCATCGCTGTACGCCAATATTTACGTTAATGACGTCTCTTTAAAGGGAAGCGGAAGGGAGAGTTCTTTAAGAAATTAGATATAAATTAATTAGCTGCTGAAATCTTTGAATATAGTTTCTACTTGAGTTGTGCTGCAGTTACATGCTTAGTCTCATCTTAAAGCTGACATTCTGAGCTTTCCAACGATACTACTGCCATCTATATACGGCAATATTGACGCAGATGGCCCGCCTTTATTTGGGGGCGGGGGGTGAAGTTCTCAAGTAAATAGACGAGAGATAATTACATCAGCAAGACTACATATCTGGGTGCATCTGTCATCTGAGCTCAGTTACCCTCCTAGCTTTGAACGGAGAGGTGCGCTACAAGTTGCTGCTTGCATCCTTGAGTGGACTAAGCTACAGAAGCCTGTACTTTGGTATCCATGCTACATTGAATGCCTATTTCGAGGCGCACGGGACTTTGTCGCGCCGTCCTGAAAAATTTTAAAAGTTCAACTTACTGTCACGGAAAACCTATCTCCTCCTACAGTTTTTAAGCTACAGCAATGAGACATATACCGTTCGATTCGTAAAGACCAGGCCTATCGACTCTAACATCACTTTTTTGAATTTCGGTCTGGTTCGTTTTTTATATGGGGAAGAAGGGGGGGGAAGGGTGAAAAATGTAATAAATGGGAAAAAACGTCATAAAAAAAAAACTAGGTGGAAAATGAAAAAAGTGATGTTAGAGTCGATAGATATGGTCTTTACGAATCGAATGATACGTGTCTCGATGTTGTAGGATGATATTTGTGGGAGGAGATAGATTTTCTGAAGTACCCCTTTTTAGCCGTTTTCTATGAATTTCACGTTTTCTATCAATTTTTTCGAAAAATTCATAGGAGCAAAATGTTTTTTTACATTTTACGTATGTATGTGAAGTTTCATGACAATCGGATAATAACTGTAGAAGTTTTCCGTATGCTAGGTCGGTCCCCTTAAGTTACGACCGAAGCTATAGGTCACGAACGAAACTATAGGTCACGAACGAAACTATAGGTCACGAATGAAACTTTAGGTTACGAATTAGATTTTAGGTTACGAACGAAACTTTAGGTTACGAACGAAACTTTAGGTTACGAACTAAACTATAGGTCACGAACGAAACTTTAGGTTACGAACGAAACTTCAGGTCACGAACGAAACTTTAAGTTACGAAAGAAACTTTAGGTTACGAACGAAACTTTAGGTTACGAACGAAACTTTAGGTCACGAACGAAACTTAAGGTTACGAACGAAACTTTAGGTTACGAATGAAACTTTAGGTCACGAACGAAACTTTTTGTTACGAATGGAACTTTAGGTCCCGAACGAGTTTTTAGGTCAAGAACGAAACCTTAGGTTACGAACGAAACTTTAGGTTCTGAAAGAAACCTTAGGTTCCGAACGAAACTTTAGGTTACGAACGAATCTTTAAGTTACGAAAGAAACTTTAGGTTACGAACGAAACTTTAGGTTACGAACGAATCTTTAAGTCACGAACGAAACTTTAGTTTGCGAACGAAACTTGAGATCACCAAGGGAACATGAGGTCAAGAATGGAACATGAGATCACAAACGAAATATGAAGTCGTTAGGAACGAAAAAAATGAGGCAACGGATGAAATATGAGTTCAGGAACGGAACATGAGGTCACGATAATAAAATAATTATCATGACACATTCCTTCTCACAATAAAAAATTCATAAATTCTGTGAGCAACACAGGCCTTAAAATTTTCCGTTCTTTTACAAGCGCAGGTATCAGAAGGGTTCACATTCTTTCCCAAGTTGAAGCGTTCTTTGATTTGAACAACTGAAGTTCCTGTGAAATAAGTTACACAAACTTGAGAAGGAAGTGAGCCTCTGAACTTTTTCTAAGTCGCAATCAGCCCTGCGATGACACTTTAATTAGCAGGGCTCCCACACGAGGTCAACGGACAGGTTCTTTCTTATCTTCCCCGCCAGTTGCTTTGATTCTGCCGAATTTTTTAGCTCTTGTGAATTATTTCTAGTCTGCTGCACTGAATCATAACATTTATACATTGTAAACTATTATAAATATAACTCAGTACTCACTGCAGTGAGTGACAGAGCGCGCATTTTCTTGTCTACGCCAGCGTGAAGTCACGGACGGACGGACGGACATGGCGAGCACAATAGTGCATTTATTCCATAAATGAGAAAATGCGCTAAAAATTGCTCAAAATTTCATTTCATTTTATTATTATGTTTTTCTTCTTGTACATTCTACCTATAGATAAATTTCGTCGATTTTCATTTAATTTGTTAAGAATTTCGAGATAGAATTGTTCTTTATTTTATTCTGTGATATAACGAGTAGGGTATTATTTTTAAACTCTATTTAAATTATTACAGCTTTCGTACTGCACAGTCCACAACGGTATAGAATATACGGAAATATATTCAGCATGATGCTCATTATTGTAGGAATTTCTCATTAGCACGCTATCGCCATCATAAAGTGCATTCCGAGCACCAACGTATATTATTAATTATATAACAATAAGCAGATGATAAATTTCTTTTATATTAAACGAGCAGAACTAATTTGAGATTACTTATCATTAACTGAAGAAATTCATAGAGCACATTACCTCGGACTCATTAACAGCAACATAAAGGTTTTATGAATAATGTAAGGTGATGTGTACTTGAATACCTCGTCCCACTGTATGATAGCGTGTATTTGTATAATTCGTCCCCCTGTATGGTAGCGTGTTTTTTGTATAATTCGTCTCCCTGTATGGTAGCGTGTATTTGTATAATTCGTCCCACTGTATGGTAGCGTGTATTTGTATAATTCGTCCCACTGTATGGTAGCGTGTATTTGTATAATTCGTCTCCCTGTATGGTAGCGTGTATTTGTATACTTCGTCTCCCTGTGTGATGGCGCGTATTTGTATACTTCGTTCACCTGCATGGTAACGTGTATCTGAGTACTCCGTCTCCCTGTGTGGTAACGTGTATTTGTATGAATCGTCTCTCTGTATGGTGAAATGTATTTAATATGTACACAGGAACGAGTGCGACTTAGCTTTCGTCTCGCTGACGTACGAGCTGCCCATCGTCATGCTGCACTCCGGCCGCTGTAACCCGCGTAAGTAAAATTATTATTATTAAAATTATTGAGTATAAATTTTCGCTAATGAATTAACTCACAAAAGTTTAAATTTGAATGTATTGCATGGTAGCCCCATGGGAAAGCCCCGCCATGTCGGCATGAAATAGTGTTATGAACTTCGTTATTTCTGCCGGTGCGATCGAATCATGAAAGGCAAATTTAGCTTTTCTTCTGGCTTAATCATAGTAAGTTTCGACCCAGTCCAAATTCTGTTAAAAATTAATCGCACATCAGATTGACCAGGAATTTTCTTACCAGATATATTGAAATAGAGAATAATTTGCAGTGGACTTTAATGTATTATAAATCACTTTAAAGTATTATTCAAACCCTTCCATTTGCTCGAATCGTCCTCGTGTTTCTGCGCACTTGTCAGTTGAAATCTCTGAAGTGGAGATTCTATAAATTCTAACTAAAAATCCGAGTTAAAACAACGGAACATGACGTAATGGGAGGAATTGTGAATCTGTGTAAACAAATAAAAAATAAATAAAACGATGGCCAATATGTCATAAATAGTGGCTCATTTTCTGCGCATGATCCGTTCTTTTACCGGGCCAAACTAGGTCAGAAAGACCCACTTAAGTGAATAAAGTGCATCGCAATTTGGACAAAGCCTCACTCATATCTATGAGTGTATATCCATAAATTGGTAGTTGAGTTGACACCAAAATTTTGCATAGGCTGAGACCCCAATTTTCTTGGTTATCTTCTAAAAGAAGAAAAACTTTCGACGCTCCTGTTCACTAAGCTCTTACGACCTGTTGACGCCAGTGGCTGGAATTATTGAGTGTTCTTTTAGTAATAAAAACAGTAGCTTTTTTATCGCTCACTGTATTTGGCAGGTAATATCATCAGATAAACCGGACATCTATGCAGTCGTTTGCCTTTGTTTTATTTATTTATTTTTTTATTACAACCAAAAAAACACGTTTCTTGGTTGTTTGAAAGTAGCTCTAGCTTTTGATAATATTATACAAAAACGATTATAGAGGGAAAATAAAACAACAAAAACCCAATGAATATCTTCTTGGAAATATGCTCAGACGAAGCAATTGCGGCAAAATTCATGGCCACGAATGACATTTTCATTGAGAAGAATGGAGATGTACGCACCAAGAAAGGCTAGGATATCAGCTTCTTTCGGTCAATTTAGAGGAGGTACGAAAAGCCGAGATTTAGAGGAGGTACGGAGAGCAGAGATTTAGAGGAGGTACGCAGAGCAGAGATTTAGAGGAGGTACGGAGACCAGAGATTTAGAGGAGGTATGGAGAGCAGAGATTTAGAGGAGATGCAGAGAATAGAGATTTAAAGGAGGTATGGAGAACAGAGATTTGAAGGAAGTACGAAGAGCAGAGATATAGAAGAGGTACGGAGACCAGAGATTTAGAGGAGGTACGTAGAGCAGAGATTTAGATGAGGTACGGAGTGCAGAGATTTAGAGGAGGTACAAAGACCAGAGATTTAGAGGAGGTACGGAGAGCAGGGATTTAGAGGAGATACGGAGAGCAGAGATTTAGATGAGGTACGGAGTGCAGAGATTTAGAGGAGGTACAAAGACCAGAGATTTAGAGGAGGTACGGAGAGCAGAGATTTAGAGTATTTAAGTTTTCATACTAAAAATCCCTGAAAGTGATGCGAAAATAAAGCCGCGACGCTAAAGCTGACACTTACAGCAGATAATAGTAATTAATTTCTACATTGAACATGCGGCAGGTAATGTCAAAATTTTCGTGATTGCATGCAGCAACTATTGTGATGACATGAAGAAATCATTGTGAATGAATGATTGCAAAATCTGTCAAGCAAAAAGTTGCTTTTTGTGGAATTAACAAGAAGAGCGAAGAACAATTTGCGAGCGAGTAATCTCTCACCCATCACGCAGAATCTTCGCCAATCACTCACACAGCACACACTACCATCACCAATCACCCGCACATCGTATCATCACGGTGATGATACGATGATAAGAAATGATGATCGCAGCACGGCCATAAAGGGTAGGGGGGTTGCCAGCCCGATGCAGATTGCGGCAGAATCCTGATTCAAAAGGAATTTCCTTTCAGCAACCGCTCCGAGGATACAGAGGATGCTGTTTATCATTGTCTGTCCTCTATCTCTGACTTAGTCTGCTTCCTTTGATCACTGCAGAGTCTTGTCTGCCGCTGCGAGCTTGTCTGTCTCTGACTTAGTCTGCTACCTCTGATCACTGCAGAGTCCTGTCTGCCGCTGCGAGCTTGTCTGTCTCTGACTTAGTCTGCTACCTCTGATCACTGCAGAGTCCTGTCTGCTTAAGCGGGCTTGTCTTCTCTGACTTAGTCTGCTACCTCTGATAACTGCAGAGTCCTGTCTGCTTAAGCGGGCTTGTCTGTCTCTGACTTAGTCGGCTACCTCTGATAACTGCAGAGTCCTGTCTGCCGCTGCGAGCTTGTCTGTCTCTGACTTAGTCTGCTGCCTCTGATAACTGCAGAGTCCTGTCTGCCGCAGCGAGTTTGTCTATCTCTGACTTAGTCTGCTGCCTCTGATCACTGCAGAGTCCTGTCTGCCGCAGCGAGCTTGTCTGTCTCTGACTTAGTCTGCTGCCTCTGGTAACTGCAGAGTCCTGTCTGCTGCAACGAGCTTGTCTGTCTCTGACTTAGTCTGCGACCTTTTTCCATTTCAGCGTCATGAAGTATCGACTATATCATCCCATGTTCATCTTGGAATACTGGGTTAATTAGTAATACAGATGCTCACCACCGATTAGTTAAGTTAGTAAATGGAATAGTTGTCGGTTGCTTGATTGTTTATTAGGTGCACCAATATAATGTAGTCACGGCTGCTCAGAATTAAATAATCTGCGAAGCGAACAGTAGTGTAAAAATTTCGAGTTATTTAATAAAAGATCTGAGTTAGTGGGGAATTTCTGTGGTATCGATATTTTCGGAACAATTCAATCAGAAAAAAAGACCTACAAGTTAGTTAAAGAAGTACGAGTACATTCTCAAGGGAGAAAAAAGCTCAAAAGCATTTGAATTGTTAATCAGTATAATGAAATGCTGATACTTTAAATTGATGGTAGCCAACTCAAAACATCTAAAAATTATCTTTATAATCAAGGAAGGAAATTCACAGGGGCTACCCGTTTAAATGCACACGGATCCAGATTCAACCGATTGTTATCCAGCGTCCACTCAGAGAAATAAGGGAGACTTTGTCCAAATAGCGATTCTCTCCCTCCCCTAGTGTGAGTCATTCAGAAAACTATTGTGCCCTGCGAAAATAGGCGTAACAGTGCAATGTGCAGAGAGTATGTCACTATTTGGACAATCCTCTTTTCGTCACTATATCCTCTTTTGTACGTTCCATGGAGGGCATGCATGCTTCCTTGCAATGACAGGGCTTCTGTGCCCCTCTTACTCTGGCAGTGGTTTAGCACTAATGTAGATTCGGGGACACGTACATTCAATTAATTCGGGGACATAATTCATGTAGATTCGGGGACATGTAGATTCGGGGACATAATACATTCATCGATATTGGTTTCAGGAATATATACTTACAGATTTCTTAAATAATTACGAACACCGGCGGGATTTCCTCAGCGAAGGGTTCAAGATTTATTTCAGTTCATATTGGATCACTCTAGTTAAGATTACTACTACCTGCATTAATTAGACCGGCGTTGCATGTAGTGACTCCTTTACTATACCAGCATTGTAGCGAGTCCATTATTCCAGCTAACCGTAGTCCACGCATAGCGAAAAGGTATTTTCTTTAAGCACGCCATACCTACAAAGAGAGCAGACCGGGCATGGAATAACGATGAACAACTTGCAGGAATTTCTGCAGGAGTGTTCAGCGGAACCTGAAATATTTGCAGCTCGTCCTCTTTCCGTAAAGGTTACTTGAGGAACTTGTTCCTCATTTGCAGGACTGGCGCTGCGGCCAACCCCCAAGTGCCCCGGGCAATCGATCTATAATCAAGCATAGGGCTGTTCCAGCCCTTTTCTGGGCTGAATACTGGGTCTGCTTGTCTGTCTCTGACTTAGTCTGCTGACTTAGTCTTATGAACAGCCCTAATGTCATGGTATAGCCCTTAGCTGGACTGTCTTATATACAGCCCGAGTGCCATGTTCCAGCCCTTTGCTGGGCTGAATACTGGGTCTGCTGTCTGTCTCTGACATAGTCTGCTGACTTAGTCTTTTGAACAGCCCCAATGTCATGTTATAGCCCTTAGCTGGGCTGTCTTATAAACTGCTCCAGTGCCGTGTTATAGCCCTTAGCTGGGCTGTCTTATAAACTGCTCCAGTGCCATGTTATAGCCCTTAGCTGGGCTGTCTTATAAACAAACCCAGTACCATGTTATAGCCCTTAGCTGGGCTGTCTAATAAACAGCTCCATGCCATGTAACTGCTACAAGGGTTATCTGACAAACAGCTCCATGCCATGTTACTGCTACATGGTCTGTCAAATAAACAGCTCCATGCCATGTAACTGCTACAAGGGCTGTCTTACAAACAGCTCCATGCCATGTAACTGCTACATGGGCTGTCTTACAAACAGCTCCATGCCTTGTTACTGCTACATGGTCTGTCAAATAAACAGCTCCATGCCATGTTATTGCTACGTGCTCTGTCTAACAAACAGCCCCATGCCATGTTACTGTTACATGAGCTGTCTTACAAACAGCCACATGCCGTAGTACCGCTTGCCTGAAGCTCATGCATGGTTGAAGAGACATGAGGATTGCCAGGTTGGAAACGAATAGTAAAGATATGGAACAAACATTCATTTATAAATCTATGGCCAAAAAGAGACGAGTAAGCATTCTTCTGACGAATAGGAATCAAACTAGCGCTCTGTAATGCATGGCAGAAAAAAATGAGGAATCTGCTTTTTCGGCACTTTAGCAATACAGCATTAATTTTCGTCATTTCAAAAACAGTGTTAATTTATCATCGTCATCAGTGAGAAAGTTACCAGAATAGACAAAA